AAGGTAGGCGCGCCTCAAGCCTTCAAGTTCTACTTCATTCTTGACAGCCTTGATGCTGTCAATGAAGGATGGTGTGACGGCGGTATAACGGAAATGCGTCAGCATCAAGGAGATCGCGTAGGAAGTTTCTGTAGAGATAAGAACTTTCCCCTCGCCCCATTCTCGCCGACGGAGGAAGGCCCAAATGTCGTTATATTCCTTCCGCTCGACGTTGAGGGCACGTAGGTGATCCTCCACTTCATCAGTAAGCTTGGTCGGATCTAAGAATAGGACCGCCCTATCAAGAGAAATGAACAGGTAGGCGTAGAACAGAGGATTGAAAGGGATATCGGAGCCACGTAAGTTAAGAAGCCAAGCTAGGAGCGATCTCTGTAAATTTCCTCAAGAGATATCGGTGGAAATTGAACGCACCAATTGAAGATAAAGAACTAATCAATGTGCCGATATGCATCTGGGCAGGGGTCGGAGTTGCTTTGGAGTACGAAGGAACAGCCGGAGGTTGTGCCTGAATCCAAGCGCGAACCTCTGCGATTTTTGTGCTAGCTTCTCTGCCCGTAAATTCGAGAGATTGGATGAAAACGGGTTCCTTGGACCGCAGGGGCTTGTCTTTCCAAACCATGTCAATGAAATTCTGGGGAGGATAGACGAGCTTCGAGTTCTTGTGGTTGAGTTGTGTGTTGAATAAGGTAGCCTTCTCATGTGAGATCATGCGCGCGTCTATACCAATCTTCGAATCCTTGACACGATCCTAATATAACATAACTCTATAAGGAAAAACCGTGGAATTAAGCTGATGACACGCACAACCAACCAATCAATCCAATCTTTAGGGCCATCTACGGCCCCACCAGGTATCAAGTGCCAGTTTGAGTCAAGTTCATCACGAGCTTGCAACCAGTAGCGCGAGTCGGTGACTAAGTAAGCGGCCGTCTTCGAAATAATAGCTTGGCCCGCACTTCCAGTAAAGCTGACAATCACGTCAGATCCGAAGTGGGACAGCCAAAATCCCAACTCACCCAGAGATCCATGCCCTACGTTTATCACTCGCTGCGACATACTCGGACTGATGGGGGTCCTCACTGGGCACGACGCTGAAGTAGAAATATGAGCCTGAAGAAACGTAGATATGGGGCTTTGCTCACTAGTAATCAAGTTTCTCTTTGGCCATCAACTTCCTGATCTCTTCCAATCTTTCTGCCGTGTCTACCTTCTCCTTGATGGATTCAACGTCATTTATCTTGCGTTCATAAGCAGAGCCAACAAGCGTGCTCCCAGAGTCATTCGAGTAGAAAGGTGGGCGTTTGCTGCCGCTCGACCTGGAGGAGGTGCGAGTAGGTGATTTGTAAAGCGGAGGTCTTTCCGAATCGACAGAGGGCGATCGTTCCAACATCTCTCTTTCCCTCTCCTTGACTTTTCCCAGTCCCCAGCCATATCCCCACTTCGTGGATTTCTTCGAATCGACCCTCGTCAGACCAGACTTGCTGTCACTGCGAGAGAGCGGGGAGAGTTTGATGCGGCTGTCGTCAGCAAGTGTAGGGAGGTCGTAAACTTCTGAATCCGAATCAAAAGATAGTTTCTCTACGTCTGATGCGAGGGTCCGCGTCGTGGAGTAAGACCCAGAACGGACGAGCTTATTTTGGGAGCCGGTAGAATTATGCGATCGTTTCGAACGATTGGAATGGCTGTCAGACTTCCGAGACAAACGATTGGAATGGTTGTCGGACTTCTGAGACGAACGATGGGAATTATTGTCGGACTTCTCAGAATGGTTGGAGCGGTTTTCGGACCTCTGAGACGATGCATAAGATTTTTCAGAGTCTGTACGAACCATGAGTGGGCTGGATTCGCGAGTCCGTGAACGATTCGTGAAAGGAAAGCACATGGGCGGTGGAGGCGGCGGCGGAGGAGGAGGCGGCATGATAGATGGCGGATGATGGAAGTAAGAAGCAAAGAGCCCGTGCTGGTAATGTTTAATGAGCTCAGAATGTACTCACACGAGGCTGGCCGGTGATTATCACCAAGGGTGCCATGGCATGCGTTACAATGAAAAGAGGAAGTATGTAAGTAATGAGGTATCCCGTGGGAGAAAGCGTGACTAAGCACACTGAATTGGGGTTACTAGAAAACACGGAAACGATCTCGGTCACCGGTCCTTGCCAGTTAGTCATTTGTGGCGTGACACAGTGAAAGACCACGAGGACAGTTCCGTGGGGGATTGAATCGACATCACGGCTGCAGAGAAGAATCAGTAGGAAAGGGTTCTAAATGGACTTTGTCCAGCCATACCACTGACGCATGGCAACAGCCAGTCCTGGGATCGATCCCGCGGTGCAAATGCCACGCACCGCAGTTCGTGTCACAACCTCAAAAACACAATGATGAAACGGCTTGCCCATCCTGCTTCGGTCCGTATTTGCATTGTGCCTGACCCTGGTACTAACCTGTACATGAGTAGGGTTGCGGGACCCACGATCGGGGTTTTGATTGGTTATTCTAGATCCGAGATGGTCACAAACTTTTGAAGATCATGAGGATACCGTTATATCAGCGGGTCGAAACGCAATAGGCCACGTCAAGCTTGAGACAGCTCCCAGTACACCCGATAAGAAAGGCATTATCGGGTAGGTACAGTTTCAATATATGGAAACATGCACGCGTCGATGCACTGTCGAGCACAAAAATATTTGCGTCAGAATAGCGCATGACGCTAGAATTGATCTCACTGCGCGGTACTGTCCAGCTTCAATTGGCGTGTGTGGTTCTAGACGCACATAGTTCTGCAATGAAGATCACCCTTCCTACGCCACCATCGCTCCAGCTACCGAATGACCTAAAGAAAGCTAGAACTTCGTAAAAACCACCTACCACAAACACATGGCTGGCCCCTGGCGCCTGATACAAATTTGTTGCAGACAAGAGAATGGAACAGAAGTGAATTTCAGGCGTTATTCATTATCCAGATCTGGGATTCCTGAGAGGGTTGCGCATGCCCTAGAGCGCCAGAATGGTCGAGAACCACTGGCATTAACTTGGAAATGGAGGGAGGAGTAAAATGTCCTGCCGAATCACGAATAGTACCATCTCATTGGATTTGACAGGGTGCTCCTTCAAGACTCCAACCTGCTCCAACCGTTCGAGTTCACGCAGGTTCACGCAGACAACTTCTGGGTATTAGGACGAGGCAATGCCATTGACAGGTGTTTTGTAAATTGTAAGCATGGCACGATGGGAGTCTGAACAAGAGATTGGTTGGATGGAAACGCACATTAATGCTGTATTATAGGGACAGCGGCTTTCAAATCGCTGTTATGTAAATGAGTTCACAGTAAAGTTGTTCGTCCGGTGCCAACAGGATGATGTCGGGCGACGGGCACCTTAGGGCTAAGCTATTATCTAATTACGTAAACAATTATGTGACAAGGTTATCGTAAAATCCTTTTTCTGTACATACACTTTTCATCCCATATAGACAATCATGGACATATTTTATTTTCCTCGGATCTTCAGTACTCAGTGCTCATACTCGTTCCGCGGGACAGCGCTTACAGTTAGCTAGATTTTCAGGCGGACTTGAGGCCTTGAGGCCCGATTAGTGAGGTTCCGACTGCGTTAAGTTTCTTGGTCTGACTATTAGGGCCGAGGCTGTTGAATGGTCTCAGTGGAATACCGATGTTCGTGTAGAACCTATTTTCTTGCAGATCATGTAAGTTTGTTGTTGGCACGAGACACTTCGAAAATGCTTCTGGATGTTCACAGCGGAAATAAGGCTCTCACCATTCCTGAAATTGCAGGTGCCAATTTACCGAGTCACTGCACTGCTACGTGACGGTCGAACTCGACTATACGATTTAATGATACACCGACGAATGCGAAAGTTTGGGGTTATTCCTGTTGTATTGCGTCTTGATGGGACTGGTATCAACTTTGTTGCGGTTTGTCATGTTGCAAAGTATGTATAACTGTCTGTCTTTCCGAACGATCCTACCGAAGCTCTTGGTTTGACTTGGACACGGTAGGATCCGCCGTCCGCTCGTTTTTCTTATTAATTCTAATCAGCTGCAGATAAACTTACCGCCAGCATGAAGCCCCAAATGTTTCTAGGACTTACAATTATATATCAAGCCACTCCTTTGATCATCTCGTATCATCGTCGCTCAACGAACAACAAGTTTTGGTTCTTTTGTCATCATTAAAGGGATCCCGCTTACACTCAGCTTCTCTATTCGAGAACATGGTTCAGGAACACTCATATGCTCCTAACGGAGACACGATGAGGGAAGAAGGACTCAGTGTCGGATCAATATCATGCAAGTTCCAAAACAACTGACTTATACTCTGTTAGCTTACCCCCTACAGGTTCATGATGTCCTTTGTATATGGTTATGATGGCATAGCTCGAGTCATTCGCAAACCTGACCTGCAGTACTACCTCAGAACATCGGTGCCTTCAAGAGTGCTTACCCGTTTGCACCTTACATGGTTGATGACCTGGATCACCATTTCTCATTTATCTTTGACGTAAGTTCGATGATTGCTGCCACTGTGATCCAGACTGCCTTGTGCAGATGTTCATTGGAGTCCGGTAGGCAAGATATACTGGCACTGCGAGTCATTCCTGAGGCGTTTGTACTGTTTCTTTGGTCGGTTTCGGTCAAACATTCGCAGCTATTGCAGCCCCACTCCTTATCTTTCTCGCCGTGCCAAAAGTACCAACATTTGCCCACTGTCAACCACCATCATCTTCATCCCTGCCTTTCAAATTGCTCGGGACCCTTCACGTCATCTGCCATATCGACAACGCAGCTAATGGACCTGCGTGTCATCAAACCTTTCCGACGATGGTGGCTAATGCCTTGACGGTAGACTGACGAGGACGGCGGGGTGGTCGTCGTGATGGTGAAGGTCAACAGACAGACCTTTGACCATTCCTGCCAGGCACCCCCAGACGTGAGCGCCAGACTGTGACGCGGAGTTTGCACAGACTTTACACAGACTGACCAATTCTTACATGTCCTCTATTTTCTTGTCTCTTCGGCCTTGCTGCAGCGCGGAGACCGCCAATATCTTCACCATTTCAAGCACAGCTTTCCGGCCATAAGTAGTCTGGGACACGGCAGGCCCATCGGCACCTTCAAGCGGAGTATGAACGTTACTGTGTCCGCCACTGTTTCTCACGCTTGCTCACTGTCTGCAACAGCGCCAAGGATTTACCTCTATGGACGCTGGGAGCCTTTTAGGTGCTATGAAGTAACACAGTGAGCTCACTGCTATGTCATATATCGATCTCTGCCGGTTCTTGTGATGCGCTGGCCTCCTCAAGGATGACATCCAACTTCAGCCGCACACTGTCAGTATCATGGCTGCCCCCGATAACCAAGGGCATCTCTGAAATGACTGGTCTGGGTGCAAGTCTGTGCATACTTTGGGTTTTGTCCGGATTGGCCAAAACTCTGGCATTCACCAATAACCGACTGACGTCGCTATATCACCGGAACATGAACATGCGGCATTCCAACGGATGTTGTGCGGCAGTTGCGAGCGCATTGGCGAGATTGATTGGCATGGCCGTTTTCGAAATTGGGCCGTTATCGAGTCTGCCTCCGTCTACTATTGGTCTACTATGTTCTCAACTTGAAGGTCACTGCGTCTAGCTCTTGGGGTGCTTCAATCATCATTTGTTCGCTTCTGGGTTCAGGTCCTTCAAATTGCTGTACCGGAACAGAACCATTCCTAGACCGGATTGATGGTTTCGTTCAGGGTTCTGCTTGTTGGGAACCTGGCCAGACCCGTCCATCTCTACAGCCGAGCTACTTCCATTTTCCAAGAGAATTCACAGGGAGGTTCGAGCGGTTGATGTTCGTATGGGTACGTACTACTGGCCGATATTAATCAAACACCTTTCCATATGTAGTCTGGCAGTACTTCTGGGCAACTTAAGGTGATATCGATAAGGGAATGAGGCTGCGGCCATTTGACATGGGTACCCTTCGTAAACGATCGTGACTCGACTACCGTGATTCTCAGAGGCAGAACCTCTGTTCAGATACTTATGACTCTCCAAGCACATGACCCACCTGGGAGGGGGCCATGCTTTCGCCTAGGAAAGTTTAGTATGCAACTTGCAAGGCAGCTAGCTGGGTTTGGAAAGCAGATTTTGTCGAAGCGGCATCCACGGTAGTATCGCGCAATTACTTAAGTTCGCTTTGGAGCGTCGTAGTTCGTAAGTACGTATAAGGAAGCATAGTAACCGCCATCACACTCGAGCATTCAATTGACTTGATCGTCGAATCTGGAGTGCGTAAGTCCCAGCTAAAATTTATTTCTAGATGTGATGCACCTCGTGGATATTCTGATGGAATTCGGCGCTTCGACTGCACGCACCATAGATGACTGGAGTCGACTTACCATGACTGTACTAGTACATTAGTTCATGCACTAAGCATTACCTGACGGTAGCCTACAGCAAGTTCTGCATGTAGTGGTTCTTAATTACGGTGCTCCAGTTTTTAGGGTTCAAACTATGCGGCTATATTCCCCGGGAGTATTTGATAGCATAAGTAACAGCATTTCTCTCTGCTTCCACTGCGGAAAATACTCATCTTTGCAAAGCGTTCTGTACTATTTTTCTCGGGTACTATTGATGCCTCTCCGATCAAGAGGGCGATTAACTTCCGTGCACAGCATTAATGGAAAATGGGCCACCATTTTGCATAAAATCATCTATATCTTCAAATCTATTTGTACATTACCCGAGTCGTTGGTGGTATATACTTCCCACCCCACAAAAGTCAGTACTTTCACAAAATATCATTAATCTCTCTAATACTCACGAGGTTGAACGACCACGTTGAACGGAAGCAGAATTGAGCGAGATAGTTGGAACTGAAAGTGCAGAAGTCACGCAAAAATGTCGGCGACCTGCATCGCTGGCCGGCGGTAGCATCGCAGCTGGCAATGCAGTCGTTCCTTTCACTTGTGAGTAGTACATAGGGGCTGATGAAATCTGGAACTGACAAGTTTTCAAAATCTGTTCTACACATCTGGTGAGTGGTCTGTTGACCTACTCACGTTTATACAGGCAATGTCTATTCATATTTCTAACTGACGCGTCTTCATCCTAGCTGAAATCAGGTAATGTTAAATTGCGCTTGTACCTCTCCTTGCGTCGAGAATCATGTGAACTTCTGGAGTGAGACTCATCGTGATTCGTGAATTATTCTACAAGATATTTCCCGTGCCTCCTCCATGCCGAGGGTCATATGGTAGCCAACTTCCTGATGATTCTGTCTGATATTCAACCAGTGCGGTTCACTTTCTCTTTTCCGGGTTATTTGTTGAGTAGTTTTCAAATTGGCATAACAGGACGAACCTATCTTAATATCTATTATGTTGCGAGACGCGCTTCGAGGCTCCTGAGGGAGTGTAGGGCAGACACGAAAGAGTGATTGGCGATATAATTGAATTTCTCAGTGAGTCGTGGTGCAAAGAAAAGACTCGGAAGTGATATCTCAAAACTTACCTCTAATCTTGAGGGATCATTGATTGACACATGGATCGCAACGTATTCAGGGCCCCACTCTGTGCAGCTTTACCAGAAGCAGATATGGCTCCACCTGGCCCCGCTTATGCACTGGCAGTTAAGAGGCTCTCGTTACGAAGGACGACTCGGAGTCCCATTGAAGTGTTTCGTTGAGTCAATTCTACCAGTCCTTCAAGTTAGTCTCTTCGGCCTGGGCGGCCTTTTTCAACGCTGGAGCGCCAGTAGTACGCCTTGCCTCACTTCAAATCTTATCACTTTGACAAAATGTCCGCAGGCTGCTCGCGAAGCCATCAACAAGCCTAACTTCACACCAAATTTATTAATGTGTACAGGCCAAATGCGCCTCGGACGCTGATTGTTACTATTCATGACGGATGTACCTGTAACTCCCACTAACACAGCACGAACGGAACAATTTTGGTTCTCAGATTCAGGTTTTTTGCACAACTTGAATTTCTTGACATGTTATGTTTCTCAGGTGAGGCTCAGTTTTTAAATTCCTGAGTAATCTAGAAAGTCTCAGAACCATCCGCTATTTCCTGGCTGGTAAATCGGAAAATCAACGGTCATGGCAAGGGGATCAACTGTTTTACCCTTTGGTATGGCGGAGCTGCCTCGTGTCCGAGGACCGAGTCGCAGTCGCGATGGACCGTTGGAGAAAAAAAACTGATCACGTGATCGCGTCAAATTCAGGCCGCATCAGCCAACTACGCTACTGATGTGGTTACGGTACGTACTGAACGGAACTCGAATCACGTAGTAACTTTTCACATAGAGTTTCTGCGTGCTTACTAGTACTATAGTAAGTACGCCGTCGGGCTTCGTAACGTAGAACACAACTCAAATATTAATAGATGCTATGGACACCTTGTGCTTAGGTCATAGCCTTTGGCCAGGGCCGCTCAAGCTGTGAATCCCCAATAGTACTAGTACATCGAGTAATTTAGGGAGTGACTTCTACCTTGAGACATCTAGCTTCCGGAGCGTTTTCAGTTTGATGAATGATTATGTTGCAGGAGGTTAGTAATGCATACAGGTATCAGGCACGGAATTATTATTTAATTCCGGGCCCGGCCAAGCGGTGGTAATCTGGGCCAGAAATATACTTGCCAGCGGTCAGTAGGAGCACTTGACGCTCGTGATCTCTAACTTGTCGTCTTTCTCTCTCTCACTCGTGGGTTGTGAGTCATATTTGATGTCATGGTTTTCATTCCGTCTCGAGCTCAGCTCCAGCACCAGGTAAGCACTCATTGATCCATGAACGGAAGCATTTTGACAACATTATCCTATGAACGCTGTACTACTTGCTACTTATCAGGTTCTCTCCGTAGGTGTCTATTGTCAGTTTCTGGCTACGAGGCTGAAATATCCAATATAGTCCCGCGCTACCAACGGCAGTGATAGCTCAAATGACTCAAATTGGAGTCCTATGCAGATAACAGCCCCCATAATTGTTGGCGTTGCACTCGTTCTGATCTTTGCTGCATACATCATATGGCACAGATGGGCGGACCATTTCAAATATCATTTTCGCCGGGTTCGAGATGCATCCGTCTCGAGAATTTACAAGGTCTTCACGCCTCAATACCGTCGTCGAGTACAGCATACTAGCGTACCCGTTACGCTAGATGAGTCCATGGCCACTCCACGTCACATACGAAGATATCACCAGACGTATACTCGATCGGATTCAACCGATTCAGAAACACCACTGAGAGACTCCATCGAATTCTCTTTCCCACCCCACAAATATCGGTTTGAACCTTTGCGCAAACAAACACATGAGAAGTCTCAACGACCTGGGAGGCGATTATGGCGATGGTGGCGTGTTTTTGGTGTGGGTCCTCGAGAGGTCAAGCCAAAAGTTCCAAGCCATCGCTGGGTGGTAGAAGGTCCTGATGAGAATAGTACTGTGGGACATGGGGATGGATCGCTCAACAGCCCAAGCGCTGAAACGAGACCAAGATCATCAAGATGGACGAGCGGTCTCGCACCGGTGCATGAACAGACAAGTGATGACGAGCCTGACCGAGGGATTTATGAAGGGGTCATGCAGATTGGAGATCCTGATTCCTCCTCTACACACTCAGTGACACCAATGGATCCAGAATATCCCCAAGGTGTTACGACACCTATGCCATCTGGGTCGGTTCCTTCATCGGCCAGAACGGCAGCACCGGAGTACAGTGCAGCCGGAGGTCCGTATTCGCCATCTAATTCGCGGACCATGACAACCGCACCAACAACTCATATTCAACAAATTTCCTATACCCCGGTAAGTCCTTCGATTGTCATGTTTGTATTCTCACTAACTTGTATCACCCAGGGACCTACCCACTCAAACTCACCCGCCCCTCCAATGTACAGTTCGGTTTCACATAGCAGAAATGCGTCCGCTGAGAGTTTTGTATATCCCTCCAACCCTGACCTAACGTCGCTCTATCCATCGTCTGTGCGCGCTGTGGGGCGGACTCTCCCGCGTATATACCAGCATGAACGACAGATGTCGACGGAGAGCATGCTTGCGAACTCGGCCCCCATGGTACCACAGAGCATGTACTAATCAATATCGATTCCTCGATGTCCAAGAGGACGAATAGACGCCAGCGGAACTGTACCCTAAAAATGAAGTTTGTCAAGACTGATAAATGTTTTTATATTCATTACTACTCGTAGCACCATGCCTGCCCCCCGCTTCACGCATTTCCATGGTGTCCTTTGGCGCGTGCCACGCCCTTCAACAGTCACGACTCCTTCACGTTCGTCCGTTTGCATATTTTTATACTATCTTGCTGTTTCGTGTCTTTGGCACTGAGACAAGGACTGGTTCATCTCTGGTTGTATTTTTCGTAGCCATCTGGTGTACTAGTATCGTTGTACTAGCGCGATTCTGAAGCCCGGCAACTAATCAAATGTAGTTCTGTTATCATTGCTGCGGGATCTATTGCAAAATTTTCCGTTTCGTATGGTTATTTCCCGAAGGAACTCAAAGCCGAACTAGTGGAGCCGAAGCACATACTTTTCGAGAGGCCGTTGGACAGGTGACACCTCTTCGCTTTTTTCCATGTACGATTATCTCTTACGAGTACCTTTTTGCCATTGGCTTCTGGTCAGCTGCGCGAAGTTTATGAACGTTGCCCGTGTAGCCTCACGGGACGTCGGCGCCTCAAGTCACCAGGGAGCTGTGCATTGTGCAAACAATCAAATTAATCAAAGTTGAAATCTCGCGGAACAGAACAATCAACTTGGAAGATGTACCCCGTCCAAGATACGTAATAAGGATATGTCACTACGTTGTATCCAATAGACGATGAGCGGTGTGTATGACCCGGTACCATAAATACACACGAGCTAGGGTTCCCTAGAGAACACCGCTGGCGCCGCGGCAGAATTTGTCCTTTGATTTAAGTTTGAAAACAGTACTAGTAGGCTAATAGTAGTATCTTTACTTTCCGACAATTGAAAGAGGAGGTTTTTACGGCGATGACTCCGCGAAACCCGTTATTGCCGGGAATTCAGGGTAAACGTTCACGAGTCTTTTGAGTCCGCTGATGCCAATGTGTGGTTATAACATCACTTTGCGCTCATACTCGTAACGGGGTTTCATGACAGATACCCTCAACCTGCAGCGGAAGTTCCTATAGTGGAAAGTTGTATTTCTGGTGGGTCCGCACAGTACTGCGTCATCGATTTCTACTTTGGTCCGAACCTCATCGGATTAGATAGCAATACACAGTACACGATCAGTACCGCCAGTAGGAATGCGTACAAACATCTAGGGTTTTCAGTTGCAAGGACTTGGCAAGAAAGAAGAAGATTCATGTTTACCGTCCCCGAGTCAGATCCGGCCGAAGATCAGCAAAGAACTTCAAGAGGTGCAGCTTTCAGCAATTCTTGATCATGAACTTGGCTCGTAGTGGTGATCATACATATGCTTGGTCTTCTGGATAGAGGTCACAAAGGGATCATTCCTTGGTTTGATCTCTATACGTGACTGCCATGATGAGAGTCGCCGTGACTCCGTTTTCATATCAACTTGATCGGGTAGGATCTACACTCTTAATCGCAGCTAGGAACCAACGCTGAGGGGTATCCCTAGGAACATCCGAGAGAAATTGACATCCTCGCAGAGATACAGATCCTGGTACGCTGAAATTGATATTTCAATATAATGGATCGGGGACCGATATAAACCTACACGAAGCAGCCACAAAGCACAAGCTCTTCTTCGCCGTTGAGCAGGTGACTATTCTTCGCCTTCTTGCATATACGACAATCACTTCAAAATACCTGATTGCGCCGTCGGCCTCTGAATGTGAAGCTTGTCCTAAGTAGATCCGTAAGGAAACTTGTGGGAGGTCAGTGTCAGGTCACGTCCAAATCACGTTGAACCCGCGGAATCACCAAACTCGAAAGTAGAGAATAGGACGACCAGGGAAACCCCCCAATCGATATTCAAAATGCTTTATCTGTATCCAACACTGGTATGAGGTGGTACAGGCATAGTCCGTGCGACCTGGTGTCATATATACATGCAGATCTGAGTGTTCTTTCCTTAGGAAAAAGGGGGTATCTCTCTATGGTATTCGGGCCCCGAGCTACTTCGAGATCATTGTCTAGCGGTGAGAGATATCTTTCTGCTTGAGTTCGCGCGTAACAAAATGCCAGATGTAGTGTGACCATCCCTCGATAACACCAGTACCTGATATGAGATGCAAACAATCTCCAGAGGCGTGCTGGTAGGACAGTTTAATATGAGATGTGAACAGTGCGTGAAGCTAAAATTAGCTTACAGCATCAGGGCGCAGCCGTCCTGGTCTCTCGATCGGAAGAAAATGAATGTCTGGGAATTCGGATGATGACAGCAGTTCCTTGGAGGAAGAGTCAGCATCCTCACACCTCGTATGTGTCTCAAAGTACTGACCTGAAATTCTGTGTTAAAGTCCTGGATCCACGGCCAATTATACCACTTATTGACCCATGGCGTGATTGTCTCCGTGGGCTCGAAGATGTTGTGGCAGTTCTCGTGACCGGGCAGATAGGCTCTAACGACTACCTGTTTTGGACGCCTGCCCCCATTTTTGTGGTATTCTGTGATGGCGTGCTGTACTTCACCTGCCCAAGCCCGCATCGCAATTTTGAAGAATGCAAGTACATTATGGATACCATAGCCAGCATCTTCTCCAGCGTCCTCGTCGTAAAATGCCCGCAATGTGCCTGTTGTCCAGTGCCCGGCAGTACTCACAACCAGCGTGCCATAATTGGCATCCGGGGGTGAATCAAGGAGTGTGGCCATGTATTCTGATGGCGAAAGAGACCAAAATGCCTCATCGCCGAATACAGACTCTGCCTTAGTATATTGAGAACCAAGATCTTGACTGTCCAACTCGGTGGGTTCAAGAGAAAATGCTGGACTGTGATATATCGTGTCTAATTCTGTTCCATTAAGAAGCAGGTCAACACGTCGGAATGAAACGAGTGGTGTGTTTTCGATGGAGAAGCCCTCCGGCATGACGAGTTCGGATATTATGGGTGACGATGGTGACAGGTATAAATGTTGCTGCCATGCACGGTCAAAGTAGGGGTTTTCAGTGTAATTCGGGGTTGCACGGACATGCGGGTATAAGAGGCACGACAGCGAAAAGAAATGGTTTTCTGTTATCGAATCTAAAGGTGAGGTAAATTAACGCATGAGACTCGAACACCAAAGAACAGAGCCGACATACCGCCCAGTAAAAGCCATCCGCCATTTGCTACCATGTCCTTGACCATCGCTGCGCCATTGAGAGGGTGGACATCACACTCGCTCGAAGGCAACCACCTGTATGAAGAGACTTTAGGAAATCTGTCCCATAGTTCTTCGTGGTCTGTGCCCAAATGCCAGTGGTATTCACGGTCTGCAGCGCAACCTTCAAAACCCGCTAAGGAAAGTGCCTGTTCTGGACGCGTTAAATTCACCAAGTCAGACGTCGGGCTATATACCCAACGCCCACTTGACCACTCTTCCGGAGTGCAGGAACTACGCTGTCGTTCCTGTGAGAATATTGAGGACCAATTTGATATGCGAAAAGAGTATGGAGAAGAGAATGTGTAGAGTGTGATCAGGAAGGTGATGATAGCACCAAGCAAAAGGACTTTTGTGGACAAGGATCGGATGGAGAGCAGGGAAGGGACCTTGGCCATGGTATTAGCAGTCTAGTAGTAGATGGCGGATAACTTAAAGAAGTACAATTGAAAAGTATGTAGAACTGCGCACCACGCCAAGCTCCACATTGGCTAAGCCAAGCCTTCCAATCGAATCGTTGTTATGTAAAATTGGCTGAAACGGTACCACAGCGGTCACGTCCACATGTACCAGTTGATCAACTTGTATATAGCTAGTACTTGTCAGTGGCGTGTGCTTGTCAAAAACATACAGCCCGTGCGCGTCAAGCTCTCATTGGTACAACCGTCATCTCATCAAGTATGCGCCGAATAGAAAACCGAGGAGAACCCAAAAGATCCGAGGTCTGATTTAGCTAAACAAGACTTCTAACCGGCAGTCTAAGTATTAGAAGTATGATATCCTTATTCGAAAATTATATTTTATGTAAGAACTATATATGAACGACGGATGCACCCGAAAAAAAATGTGAGAAAACCATCCATTTCAATCCAGCTCGATCTGGAGGTAAGAATGAAGGTAGGCGCATCACCAAAATTACCGAATCCAGAGATGGCCATATATTGCCATGTCGGAGCTACCATACCTGCCATATGTATCTGGCGGAAGGTCCCAATATAAGGCAATGTTAGGAAACTCAATTCTGACATTGCGACTGCCATATGACTATAGTCTGGCATTAGGCTAGTGTACCGATATATCAAACATTGCTATGTACATAATGCATTTGAATTTCGCTCAGATTCATCAGACATTGCAATTGCGTTCAGATATAACAATGTGATGCATTGAATTAATGGTAGTACAAAGCAGTGAGGTACAACGGTTCCGAGCCTATGTATGTGAATGCAGGTAATCGAGAGCAGACAACAGAATGGGAAAACGAGTGATCTATGAGTAGGTCAGTAGTACAGCACAGTAGCAAATGACAGCGAGAAAATGAAAGTACCCATGGAGGTCTGTGAGCAATGCGAATAAGAGGAGAACGTGCGATGATGTATGAGGCAGGGGACAGCTACTTCCTTGAACTTCTCCGTGGCTTGGCTTCTGCAGATCGGGCAGCCTTGCCACACTTTGGCTTAGAGACTTTGGTGCTCCCCTTCTTGGCCTTGCGTTTACCTTTGACCTGGACGGGTTCAGACTCATCGTCCGACTCGGACCCCGTTAGATCACTGGGGGCGGGTGACTCAGCACGCGCAGGTGCTGGTGCAGATGGAGCTGGAAGCTTGCGAGGAGAAACTCGTTTGGGAGCAGAAGGCGCTGGCGTTGGTTCGCGAGGAGGCGCAGGTGCTGGTGCAGATGGAGCAGGAACTGGCCTGGGAGTAGGAACTGGCCTGGGAGTAGGAACCGGCCTGGGAGTAGGAACTGGCCTGGGAGTAGGAACTGGCCTGGGAGTGGGAACTGGCCTGGGAGTAGGAGGTGGCACTGGAGTTGTTTCGCAAGAAGGCATTGGTTCGGAAGGACGAGCTGGCGTTGACTCGTGAGGAGGGGGAGGTGGTGAAAGGGAAGGTGGGGGAGAAGGAGGATGTGCTGGAGCTGCTTTGGCTGCACGACGAGCCGCCATTTGGGCATGGACTCGTGCTAGATCATCGTCTCTTCCTTCACGAGAGGTGCTAGAAATGTTGTTATCTCTACTATAAATAGAGTCGCCCTCACGGCCTTCTTCGTTCTTGAATAATTTCCTTGAATCAATCATGTTAGCGTGACATGAAGAATATAAAAGAAACTTACATGTTCCAAGCTCTGAGGAGCTCGTCTTTCCATTCTGGATCGGGTGAATCTTCGATGAGGTCGACGATGTTGTTGTAGAAGTCGCGATAGTTGAAATCGCCGTCGACTTCTGACCAAGCATTCTTGGCGCCAATACCAAAACGAACCTTTGAAAATTGAGCAACTCATGACTACAGATAGACATTGGGGAATCAAACCTGCAAGCAGCCATAGGCAATATGCGCTGCTTCTACTGTGGTCATGTCATGTAGGGCAGCGTTACAGGTGCGTGTCGCCCGCATCTGCTCCCCATACGCACTCGAGGGACTTGTAAAGATGTGGCGCATCGTCTAAAGCAACATCAGCATAAGGCAACAACGAAGAAATGACACATACTCTTTCCAACAAATGACCCTCGAACATGCCTTCGAACATGTTATTGTCGTCGTAGTCCTTGCCTGGTAGATCCCCAGCCCACAGAAAGGCAGGAAGAGCGGAGGCAGTCATCTTAATCTTGCCGTTTTGAAGTTTTTTCTGAGCCCTGTATCGCGTTAGACTAACTTGAGTTGGACTTGAATTAAAAAAAACATACTTCTCAGCATCCTTTGAAAATTCTTTGAGTTCCCTGACTGGACAGAGAAATCGAGCGAGAACGGGGTGGTTACTACCCAGGTGGGTACATGAACCAGTGCCATCGTATATAGGTGGCATTATCGGGGAACGAAGGTTGAAGGCCGCGTAGTGACCGATTTGGTTCTTCAGGCGCGAGGTATCGTCAGAACGAGTAGCGGAGATAGTAGTATCCATCTGATGGATGAATTAAGTACATGATATGCGCATATATGCGCATAAACTCACCTTCTTGATGATGGCATTGAGTTCCGAACTTTTCCGAGGGTCGCCAAGTAGAGGCTTCAAGCTCGGCACGAGCTGGAGTAGACGAGCGTAGTTCCTCTTGTATCGATCTTGGATCTTAGGTGACCTGCGGACCAGGAAAAGATTCAGTTAATGGTAAGATTCATAAGTGACTCACATTTTCGAGAGTCGCTTGTCACGACTAGCCCGGATATCTTCGTCCTCCGAGACATCACCATTCTCCGCAGCGTCACGCTGCTGCAGAGAAAGACCTACCGTGATAAGTTGTTTTGTCTTGCAAAACACGTCAATGTAGCGCGCTATGCAACGCGCTGCACCGACAAATTCTTCGTGAGGGTCAGTCTCAGGCTCCATATTCCTGTATTAAAGCATTATTAGTGATCACAACATCAAACGAACTGATGATGAATCTACTTACATTTTCTCGTCATCGTCTGATGAACGGTGCCTTTTCTTTGGCCTGGTGAGTTTCTTTGAGATCTTCTTCGGAGGTACAGCTACTGCTGACTGAGATGAGATAGAACTGTTGGATGATGAAGATGATGAAACAGAGGTAGTGCATTTGCGACGCGCCATGGTGTAGGATGGAAAGATAAGAATCAGTGATAACTTAAGACACGTGAATATTATTGACGCGCTTGTCCTTGTTTGGCTCCTATTAGATTTGGCTCCGCTGGAATTTTCGTAAGTGTTTGACACGCTTTGATGCATGTATTGCTTTGGCCTCTTAATCTTATACCTAATATTTATATTCTAATGCCTAACACTAGTACTGCTCTCTCTTTCGGACCTGTCGACTGCAGTGACAAAGTCGATGTCACTGGTAAAGTCGGTGTCGCTGGCAACCACATCTTCATGGATGTCGAAAACCTGCTCGTAGACTGGCCAACATATACGATCAAGTTCACGCCGACCCACCCAGGACCCGTGGTAAGTATTCACTTCAAATTCTGAGTCGCGTTGTTTTACTTACATTAATCATACAGACACTTATATTGCGTTTAAAAGACGTGTCTAGATTCAAATATGTCGAAGATGAGGACAGCGACATGGAGACATCAGAATCGAAGGCTTGCAAGATGTATGATATGTTTTTTTTCTCATTAGTGTACACACTCACATTCTACCTTTTTAGCTCTTCGTCTAGCACGAAGGACGACCTGGATGCGACATTTGTCTTCGAAGAGACAACCTCCAAGACCGAGTATGTTTTTTTGGCAGTGTTTAATTCATTTTTTTCACATCTTGATTCAGCGATAACCCCAATCTCTTCATCGCAACTCCAGTGAGGCTCGACGCAATCAGGAAGGACTTTTCCTCGAAAAAATGCAAGCTCGGTCATGGTCACTTCTTTGGAGATGCAGATTCCGCTTGGCCCCCCCGCTGGCCTCGTGGCTACTGAAACGTTTCTTCTTTACCTATCTCAGCTTTTGAGAGCCTTAAGATTACACCTGCTGACGTAGTAGCCATTGACAAAACTACATAGTATGTTTTCATCTCATCGTTTTCGCCAATCCTTTGCAGCACTTTGTCCTGCTTTCATTTTGTTACACTTTCATTTCACTTTGCATCAGATACCGACACGCTCTGCACGAGTTATCCCATTGTCCCATGTACTACTAATATCAGAATTCAAGTTGTATTTCTTGTCCACCCACGAGTGCGCTATGTTTCCAAGGCTTCCAAGATATGCCTCTCCACCAACCTCATCCATCAACGAGCCGTCGAATGCGAACATTCCCAAGAGGCTTCTCAGAACGCCCAGCCCGGTACCATTAAGCGAATGCAGTTTACATTCAGTATCGATGCTCCCCCAGCTCATTCCCTGCAACTTCATCTTCATCCTACACCTTCTCTGGCGAAGGCTCCACCCCCACCAAGCCAGACCTCAAGCCTAGCGTTGAGTTCAGAGAAGGTCGCAGGCACAGGAGAGGTGACGGATCCTCTGTCACTAACCATGCTTCTTCCGACCCCGCATCCAACCAGAACAGTGTTTCTTCTACAACTAACGACTCATCTTGCGAAAAATTCGCCACCTCATATGAAAAACTTCACTTCCCTCCCATCTTTAGTACTTCGTTCGGTCCAACTGCTATCCTCTACTCCACCCCCACCCTATCTAACCCCATGAGCTACGGGATGGAGACCACTGGCTCACGCACCGGTACACTGCATAAGGTGCTGCAGTGACTCAAATGCTTACATGGTTTGGATTTGCAGGATGATACCATGCGGCAGACTTGATGCGGCCTTCGAGTATCACTAAAGGACTTCCATTATAAGGTGCATCCATGTGATTCATACCAGGCATTTAGGTATTGACATATCCTCACGTATATTTGGTAGTGTAGTGCTTGTATTCTAGATAAATAGCACTGTCCTCCCATCTGAAACCCCCGCTCCCGCTACTCCATGGACAACCTCACCTGCCTTGGGTGTGGAAAGGCTTTCAACAGCCAGAGGCGCTTGAGCGCACATGAGACGCTATGCGAGACTCACCATGAATTCAGCACACAGATCAGCAAATCATACCAGCGCTCTGAAAGAAATCGCAAGATCAAGAAGAGAAAAACCAACTGTCGGGAGTCTTTCAGTGGAGAGGAGGATGCCCCCCAAGAAATAGGTGACGTGCATGCCGAAAACTGGCATAATCAGGTATGTCTTGTCTTTTTAATCCTACAGAACTAATATTTGACATATATTACAGGATAACGACACTCCTGGACCTTTGCAACGATCCCCTTCCCCACCACTACCTGAGCCTAGCGCAGCTATTTGCTCCAATCGTTCCGGGCGCATCATTCGCATGCCCAAACGATACGACGACTTCGTTCCCGGCGATGATGAGGTACCTGATGTGCCTCAGCCTGAAGATGTGATGTCTGAAGAGGGAGATCACACCAGTGATAAGCTAATTTCTTTCGAGACAGAGCCAGATACAATGGGATTGTACCGAGTGTATCCTACTTGTCCTACTCTATTTCCGCGGACCGGTACCACCCTTAATACTCTATGCGACTCTCCGATGTTGCAGACTGGTGAAGATCCGAGGGACAACTCATCTCAACTACTCACTGGTCCCCCCCTCCCATTGTCTGTCACTCCTGAGAACCTGTACTCCGCATTTAGTAGTCCAACCGCTGGTCTACTTCTGTGCTGGCAATATTCCAACCCCAACTCGATTTTGGATGCTGCTTTGCAGCGACTTACTACTTTCCTTGATGATGATGCTTACGACCGAAACGATATACGTCATTTCAGCATCACTCAGGAGAAAAAGCTTGTTGCAAAGTACCTTGAGGACCAATCCAACCCCTTCAGTGCCAGTAACGGATGGAAGGAGTCATCTGTCTATGTTCGCCTTCCAAAAGAAAAAATGAAATGGCCATCCGAAGATGACGCCCCCGAGCTCGAAATTCAAGGCATGCACCATCGATCTTTGGTCAATATCATAACAGAGGTTTTTGAAGACAGTGCAGCCACAACGTTCCATATGACACCATTTCGTCAGATGTGGAAAGTCTCAGACGAGCGAAGTATCGAGGTCTTTTCGGAGGCTCATTCTTCCCCTGCGATGCTGGAGGCCCACGCTGAGATTAACTCCCTTCCCCGTGCAGCAGACGACGATCTCGAACGTGTTGTAGCATCACTCATGATGTATTCTGATTCGACTCACCTGTCCAACTTCGGGGACGCATCACTCTGGCCATTCTATCTATTTTTTGGTAATGAATCTAAGTATACACGTGGAAAACCGACAGCTTCCGCATGCCATCATGTTGCATACATTCCTTCGGTAAGTCTTTCTCAAATCCCTCACATCCCTTGCACCTTATTGACGCAACATTTAGATTCCGGATGATTTTCAAGATTTGTACATTCAGGCCTTTGGGGACGCATCTTCGGCAGAAGTGCACACGCACTGCAAGTGGGAGCTTATGCAAGCAATCTGGAAGCTCCTTCTCGATGACGACTTTATGCAGGCTTACGAGCATGGGATCGTGATCCGTTGTGGAGATGGAATCACTCACAGGGTGTTTCTGCGTTTTTTCACCTACTCGGCTGATTATCCAAAGAAGTAAGTTTTTTTTAGTCACGCGCTTCTTAGATTGACGTCTTTTCAGGATTCTCCTTGCTGGTATCAAGTTTCTTGGCCAATGTCTATGCCCGCACTGCCTTATCAAGAAGGCTGATGTGTCTGAGATGGGTACAGAACACGATATGCACGATCGCATGTCACTCCAATGTGTTGATGACAAGGCTCGCCATGCCAACATTGAAAAGGCATGCAAACTTATTTTCAAACGTGGTGCGCCAGTGGATGGCAAGCAAGTCAAGTCTATCCTTAATCCTGAGTCCCTTGTCCCTACACGTGTGAGTACTTCACATTATATTCAAATTGTTGCTAATGGGATACAGAACGCCTTTTCGGATCGTTTTTTTGCCTTTGGATTCAATTTCTTTCTAATGCTTGTGGTGGACATGCTGCATGAATTCGAGCTTGGTGTGTGGAAGGCTATCTTCACGCACTTGTTGCGCATCATGCACGCTGCTGGTGGTGTTGCGATACAAGAGTTGAACTGGAGGTACGTCATTTGATAGTATGCTTTTCGTATCACTGACTACATATCTACTACAGGTACCGTCATGTTCCAATGTTCGGGAGGGGTACTATCCGTCGTTTCCACAAGAACACTTCTGCAATGAAGCGCCTTGCAGCTCGAGATTTTGAAGACTTGTTGCAGGTGAGTTTTAACTGATTTCAGATCTGATTTCATACCTGATTTTAATTTCAGTGTGCAATACCAGTCTTTGAAGGGTTGCTCCTGGACGACCATCACGACAACATCATCCTGGACCTTCTGTTCGACCTTGCTACTTGGCAAGCTTACGCAAAGCTCCGTCTCCACACTGAAGACACTCTGAACTTTTTTGATGGTGCTACAGCCATCCTCGGCAACAGTGTTCGAAAGTTCAAACAGACGACTTGCGAACACTACCACACGACAGAATTACCTCATGAACACATGGCTCGAGGGCGCCGACAAGCTGCACTGGCCGCAAAGCAAGGTGTATTAGCTAAGGAGAAAGGAGGTACTTTGCATCGCAAGGTAAAGAAATTAAATATCCAGACTTATAAATTTCATGCGCTTGGGGACTACCCAAATACAATTCAGATGAGGGGAACAACGGACAGCTATAGTATGCAACCAGTGAGACTTTTTTTTTATGCACGACACTCCTCTAATTCTGGTGCAGGGAGAACTACAGCATCGACGTCTCAAGCGATGTTACCCTCACACTTCGAAAACAAAGGCAACTACAAACACAAGCATCGCAAATCAAGATGCCATCGAACGACTTTGTACAAAGGTAATCAACACTCGGGCACAATTTTCCGCCCAACGGGGTACCAATAGACCTCGTCGTGTACGGACCTCACCTTCCGACCATTACCACATTGCAAAGTCTGCTCGTTCAACTTACGACCTCACAGCATGGTTGGGTGAGCTTGGGGATGATCCGGCTGTCAAGGTACGTGCTTCTGATTCGTATTAAATTTTATATCTCATGATATGAAATAGAACTTTATTCCTCGTCTCAAAGACCACTTATATGCACGTCTTCAAGGGCTTGTATATGAAGGCGACGAGTACAACTTTACTGATGCAGAGCGGAACTCAGTTCTCATCACGGACAACAAGCTCTTTGAACACAGCATCCTTCGTATCAACTACACTACCTACGATCTTCGATGCGAGCAAGACTCGATCAATCCCCGCACTTGTGCTGATCTCATGGTCATGTCACACGAGGATGATCACACTCATCCCTACTGGTATGCCCGTCTCATCAAAATATTCCACATGAATGTAGAATACTACGAAAACCCGGATGCAATACGGTCCTGTCCAAAGTGTATGGATTTCCTCTTCGTTCGATGGTTCAAGCACGACAATATTCCCTCCGGGTTCAGTGCGAAGAGGCTCCAACGCCTCGAATTCTTTGAGGATGAAAGCCCTGATGCATTCAGATTTCTTGATCCAGAGTGCATCATTAGAGGTGTACATATAATCCCGGGATTCGCTTACAGCCGTTCCAAAGAACTTTTCGATCCAACAATTGCACGACATGAGGAAGACCCAGATTGGTACTGTTATTATGTGAATATGTAGGCGTATTTTTTTATTTCACTGTCTACCAACTACTAATGATGTATATAATGCTTACTAGGTTCGTGGACAGAGACATGTTCATGCGATTTCGAGGTGGTGCCGTTGGTCACAAGGGCATGCGAGAGTGGGACGATGTTTTGCAGCGTGAGGGACACATTGCCGAAGACTTGAATAGTGAAGCCGACGAAGATATCAAAATGGAGGACGAAGACGGTAGTGACGAGGAACTGGATGAGGGGGATGTCGAAGAGGGTGACGAGAGTGACGAGGGTGATGAGAATGAGGACGAGGATGAGGACGAGGACGATGATGATGACAAGGACGAGGATGATGATGATGACAAGGACGATGATGATGACAAGGACAGGATAATAGCTGAGTACGGTGAGGTGCTCGATGACGACATACTCATTGAAGAAGGCTATGGCACTCTTTAGGTACTTTCTATTTGACTTGTGTGGTTTTCATTCATTTTTGTTTTATATTTCTCTATACAATACATGGATGTATCTAAATGTATCTGACATATGGCATACCGCTACACTACGAAATGAAATATGTCTGACAGATAACATGCTTGACATCAGCGTGCCGGGGTGACATGTCAAATGTCGGATATAACGGGCAGGTGTCGTCGGTGGTGTCAGAAAATTCAACATATCAGGTGATCTCTGGATTCGGTAATTTTGGTGATGAGATACCGGCATCGTTGTGACCATCAGTGTTGCACGACGCCGCCCTAATTGAAGTAGTCCTAGTGGTAAACTCGTAGGAAAATACAGGTCCCTTCCATTCGACCTGAGCCCATGATTCGAGTTGCCCGACGAGCTTGGGTCCACAATAAGCTTGAACAACTCTAGCAGGCAGGCATAAATAGAGTCGTACCCCCTAGCGGCGAATGTTCGGTGCTGCCATTCTTTGAAAGGCCGACAAAGACGCAATTATACTATGAAAA